GGCCTAGGGAATTTTAGCGGGGTTTTTTAGGGGATTTTTAAGGACAATTTTAATGATCGGCCTGTTTAAATATTTCTTTTTAATTCGGCTTTTAATTATTGTATTTGTATTGTAGTTTTTATGAGGCTGTTAGCCGCCCTGAGTCCCATGAGGAGAAGGGCGGGGTATAAATTAAATTAATAAATAAAAATAAATAAATAAATATATTATATCGTGTCATTATCCTTTGATTTTCAGATGGTATCATGGAAAACTTGACAGAACAATTGCAGAAGAACGTCTTCGACAGGCAGGAAAACCTGGAAGTTACCTTATTCGAGAGAGTGATCGAAGGCCTGGATCATTTGTGCTTTCATTTCTGAGCAAAACTAATGTTGTTAATCATTTTAGGTGAGTGAATATTTGTTTTTGAAATTGATAACTGTGCTCCTATAAACTCCTGCAAATATGAGAAGATGGTCTTTTAAGGGTAATGATTATGTGGTTCACATATTCTTTCACAAGTTTCAAAACATTGTTGAAAAATCTGTTTGGCTGATTGGGTATGCTCAGGTTACATATTCAGTTAATATGGAGCATTGGCAGATTTTGTGATCAATATCTCTTTATAAATATTAGAATGTGCCCTGGAAAATATACTTGTAATTCCTGCAGGCTGCAAATATAAGTCACTTACACATTATGTTTAATAGGGAATTGGCCATTTCCACTCTGTCTGTTCTTCTTATTTTTAACTCCCCCCACCAATTTTTTATTCATTCCATCATCATTCTTCTATTGACTATTGGGTCTAGAAGATGAAGTTGTAGTGTGCATTAAAACATTTTCTTTTGTAAAATGTTGTGGTAACATAAGCTTTCTTTGACTAATAACCATGAACTTTTAAATATTGTGAAGTGTATACAAAATATGTAGTTAATAGCATATATGCTTGGTATAATTTTTTATTTCAAATCAAGGAGATTAATTTGTAAATGTTGGGAAGAATCAGGAAGGGTTGCTTCCCTTGCTTGAAGACTGGCAGCTGCTGAGAGTTTGACCACATATTCTACAGTGTCACTTTTTAAAATGCAACTTTGTTTAATGTAGGACACAATTCTCAGAAGCGTTCTGTCTTTCAATGATTTGGAAAATAAATTATCTTTGATTTGCTAAAAGGAAGAATAAGGTTGACTTTATAAATGTTACTCAGTAATTATAGTACTGTATTAATTTCAATTTATACTCTTTATCCTTTTGTACCCTTAAAAAATGTAGTCACCTTGAGTACTCGATTGAATAGAAGTGTAGAATATAAATCGAATTCTTGTTTACCAATAGTAACTGGAACTGGGAACTGTCATTAAGCAATCTGCTTATAAGGTGCGATATCACATGATCACACCAACGTATGACAGCAATTTCATAAGTCCCAGTCACTAATTAGATGAATGCCATGTGATCACAGTGTCCTGTGGACATGTGATCACCTTTTGCAAACTTCTGCCTGCTCCCCTATTGATTTTATTTGTTGGAAACTGGCAGTACTGCAGGGACGCAGAGAGAGAGACACTACTACGAGGATCCCTTTTTCAGCACTATCATAACTTTGAACAGTTGCTGAAAGAATATCCATTAAGTGAGAACTACCTCTAGTTTCTTTATATGTGAATCTTTTTTTTAATAGAAAAGGACATTCTACTAACATTGGTTATTATTTTCTCTGATAGGATTATTGCAATGTGTGGCGATTATTACATTGGTGGGCGTCGATTTTCTTCACTTTCCGATCTAATAGGGTATTATAGCCATGTGTCTTGTTTGCTTAAAGGAGAAAAATTATTGTTTCCTGTAGCACCTCCAGAGGTATGTATTTTTTATATAAGAATATGCATTTTTATATATTTGCAATTAACTGGAAGTGAACCAGTTTGGTATTGTGGTTAAGGTAACAGGTGAAAAATCTGGACGCAGTGGGTTCTACTTAGGCACAAAGGCAATTGGATGACCTTATAGCCAGTCACTCTTTTAGCATTAGGAAGAGGCAATGTTAAACCATTTCCAAACATCTTGTCAACAAACTACAGTTGCTAGGAATCAATACTGATTCAATGGACAAAAAATAATAATTTAAATTAAATTCAAAAACTGAAAATCACTGTTTCAAGATTCACAGCTCTGTTGCTCTTTTTCAGAGATAAGAGGAGTGGATTTAAATGCCATACTTATATAAGCCTATACAGTCTCTTAAAGAGGTTAATTAGATTGACACAGAATAATTACAAGTTTTTAAGTTCTCCAGAATTTTACATCAAAGTCAGTCCCAAAATAGAAGTTGTGAATAGAGAACAATACAGTTTTCAGGAGAAAAGAGACAATGTAATGTGATATCAACAACTTGCAATCTGCAATCAGCCAACTGGGTCTACCTTGGGAGCAATATATATATATATTGGAGTTCTGTTGTTCTCTATTCCTTCTTTTTATAAATAATGCCTGACGAAATGTTCTGGAGATTCCAAAAGCTTGCATAATCTCTTGTGTCAAGTTGGTCAGACAGAAATTTTGAACAAAAACAACAAAAGGGTAATAATATGACAATAATTAAATGTAATACCATCTATTTATTTTTATAAAGAACAATTTGAATATAAGTATAGATTTTTTTCTGATCTATATAAATTGTAAAAAAAAAATTCAGCAAACATGTAACACAAATGCCAGTATTTTACATTTGTGTATTGTAATCTTAATTAAAAACAATCCAAAAAACCCCCCCATCTCAATTATTTTACTATTAACTTTATATTTATTTCTGATGTTTCATCTGAACCTAGATAAAAATCTTGATCTTCTTTATTGGTTTTGAAATTGGTTTTGACCAATTGGAAGTTTATGAGTAAAGGAATGGGTGAAAAAAAGCTGACTAAAATGTGGATCTGAATATCTTGGAGATTTTGTCTTGATTCAGTATACCAATTTTGAAGTTTTTCTTCAAAATAGAATATCCTCCTTTTTTATACAGCCAGTAGAGGACCGCAGGAGAGTCCGAGCCATTCTGCCATATACTAAAGTGCCAGAAACAGATGAAATAAGGTATAATTTAGAATGTTAAATAATGCATGTACATTTGTGTTTAATATTTGTTAGATTTTTTGTAAGAATTAACATGGCACCACACTCTATTAATTTAAAATAATAGAAAACTATTTTAATATAATCACTTTAATAGTTCTTTTATTTCAATGTAAAGTTTGTTTGATCATTAACTTAATAATGAAGTCAGTCACATTTATGGAGATGATGCATATAGTTAATGTGGTGTAAGTTTAGATTTAAGGAAAGCACAAAAAAACTCCAGGTTTCTATTTAAAGTAACTTTATTAAAGCACCATCCACTTCTATATATAGGTACCCAAGAGTTAGTCCCAGTGAATTCAAACAGATATACTTTTTAGTAAATAATTGTGGAATCACATGTTACTAATTGTAACATTTTTGAAAGTAGGATGTGATTTTTAAAAAAATAGGGGATTTCAGGAGATTTCTATTCTTGCTCCACACCTGTTGTTCTGGAAGCAATATCATTTAGCAATAGCAATAGCATTTAGGCTTTTACATCGCTCCAATGTGTTTCTCCACCAATATTTCAGAATATAAGCCTTCAAATAAATTTACTATAAAATAAAACACATTTAAAATAAAATTACGTTACAAGAGATCATCAAGGTTTTCTACAGAATAATTGATAGCCTATGGTTTGGGGGAAAATTACAAGAAATTCATTTAATTTTCAAAGACAGAAGTTAGGTCAAGTTGATAAAAGTGTAACTTTGCTCGCTTGAGTATTGATTTAAATAATTAATAATTTTACCTTAACTACCTGTAGTTTCCTTAAAGGAGACATGTTCATTGTCCACAATGAATTAGAAGATGGATGGATGTGGGTTACAAACTTACGTACAGATGAACAAGGCCTTATTGTAGAAGATTTAGTAGAGGAAGTGGTAAGTAATATTACTCAAGTGTTGTTTTCTACTCTTGTGAATTTTATTCCTTTAAACATTAAACTTAATGTTTAAATTTTTTAAATTATACTATGTTTTTTTCTAAAGAGAACAGAATTCTTTAACATTCTTAATGCTAAAATCATTTTGTGTT